CAATTCCTGGAGCCTTGTTTTTCACCAATTCCTTCAGTGCAGCTTCAATTTCTTCCTTCAGTACCATTGGTTCTCGAACATATGTTGTTGTTGTTGTTGTTATGTGCCATCGAGTCAGACCCGACTCATAGCGACCCCTCCTTGGGTTTCTGAGGCAGTATCACTACGGAAGTAGATTGCCCCATCTTACTTGAACATATAGCACCTCCTGAAATGGATGAAGATTGACCAGTTCTTCTTGGTACAGTGACTCTATGTATTCCTTCCATCTTCTTTTGATGCATCCTGCATCGTTCAATATTTTGCCCATACAATTTTTCAATATTGCAACTCAAAGCTTAAACTTTTTCCTTGGTTCTTTCAGCTTGAGAAATGCTGAGTGTGTTCTTCCCTTTTGGTTTTCTAACTCTAGGTCTTTGCACATTTCATTATAGTAATTGGCTTTGTCTGGTCAAGCTGCCCTTTGAAATCTTCTGTTCAGCTCTTTTATCTTGTCATTTCTTCCATTTGCATTAGCTTCTCTGTCAACAAGGCCAAGTTTCAGAGTCTCTTCTGACATCCATTTTGGTCTTTTCTTTCTTTCTCATATTTTCAATGACCTCTTGCTTTCTTCAGGCTTGACTACTAACCAGAAGGCTGGTGGTTCAAACCCACCAGCCACTCCTCGGAAGGAAGGTCGGGCAATCTACTTCCGTAGTGATACTGCCTCAGAAACCGAAGGAGGGGTCGCTATGGGTCGGATCTGACTCGATGGAAAATAACAACAACAACAACTTGCTTTCTTCATGGATGATGCTCTTGATGTAATCCCACAGTTCTTCTGGTTCTCAGTCATTGGTGTTCAATGCATCAAATCTATTCTTTAGTCTCCAAATTCAGGAGGGATATATTCAAGATCATATTTTGGCTCTTGTGGACTTGTTTTAATTGTCTTCAACTTCACGTTGAACTTGCATATGAGCAGTTGCTGGTCTGTTCCACAGTCAGCTCCTAGCCTTGTTTTGGCTGAAGATCCTGACCTTTTCCATTGCCTCTTGCCACAGATGTAAGTCAATCTGATTCCTATGTACTCCATCGGGCAAAGTCCACATGTATAGCTGCCATTTGTGTTGTTAAAAAAAAATATATTTGCAATGGTCGTTGGTCTTGCAAAATTCTATCATGCAACATCCAGTGTCATTTCTGTCACCAAGGCCAAATTTTCCAACTACTGGTGATTCTTCCTTGTTTCCAACTTTTGCATTCCAATCACCAGTGATAAGCAACACATCTTGATTGTATGTTTGGTCAATTTCACACTGCAGAAGTTGATAAAAATCTTCAATTTCCTCATCTTTGGCTTTGTTGGTTGGTGTGTAAATTTGAATAATAGTAGCATTAACAGGTCTTCCTTTAGATGTATGGATATTATCCTATCACTGACAGCATTGTACTTCAAGACAGATCTTGAAATATCCTTTGTGATGATGAATGCCATGACATTCCTCTTCAATGTGTCATTCCCAACATGGTTGTCTGATTCAAAATGCCCAAAACCCATCCATTTCAGCTCGCTAATGCTCTGGTAGCATAGTGGCTAAGACACTTGCCTGCTAACCAGACGGCTGGCGGTTCAAACCCACCAGCCACTCCTCGGAAGGAAGGTTGGGCAATCCTACTTCCGTAGTGATACTGCCTCGGAAACCCAAGGAGGGGTCACTATGAGTCGGGGCCGACTCGACGGCACATAACAACAACAACAACAACAATGCTTAGGATATCAATCTTTATGTGTTCCATTTCTTTTTGACAACTTCCAATTCTCCCAGATTCATACTTCATACATTCCATGTTCCAATGATTAATG